GAGGCTGTAAATCTTTACGGGAGCAGAATGCCTCATCTTTCTCCCGCGGAGCGGCTGGTAATTTCGAACTGCTGGCCTTAAGGTTCGCAGCCCGATTCCTAACCACTACGCTAGCAGAGCTATATACACACAGAGTGATTACTAACAAGAATAAATAAGTTGCTCGCCCAGGAGATATCAAGACAAGTGGTTGGGTCCCCTCAGATCAAACCCAATTCCAAGACTAAGACTCAATGGGAATACACGCTGTGACTGGTGAACATGTTCATCACTGACAAGGGGAAGCGAGGGAAAAACAGCAATGAAGCTGCAAGCTAAGCCCTACAGTGTTTAATAGACTCCTGTGAACCCGGGTGGAGACCTGGTTGGCCAGCAGTATGACAAGACCTGGGGACTCTTCGGCCCAGAGTCAGTGACATAGCCACAGAAGAGTACTAGAGTGGAGAGTGAAGCATCCAGCTGATAAGAAGAAAGGGCATATGCACAAGAACACACACACTTACAGATAATACCCACTTGACCTGGCTTCAATGACTGGATGATCAGAACTCAACTGAATAAGAAGAGGAAAAAAAGAGTAATCTGATACAATTTGCTGAACTTGACCTACACCTATGGATGCAGTAGCTCAAAAGAGAGAACAAATCTTTACAGCAAGGATCATTCCCACCCCCTCCATACACAGACTAGACAGGGATGGGTCACTTAGACATTGGCTACCCAAAATGGTGGGGGGGGTGGGGTGTACAAAGGCAAGAAGTGACTGGTTTACAAGCTTTCGAGAGGGAACCAAGATCCAGAGGGTGTGGAGGAAGGTAGAATCTGCACTGAGTAGTATCAAAATTGTCTAGGCCAGGCTGATGAAAGGAAATGTGGATAGGTCTCTTGTGATACAACAGTGAATAATTGTTATCAGGACTGATTGTGAGGGTTGGAAGTGTAAAGGTAGATGTTTTGTAGCAAGGAGGGGAGTGATTAACTTTGCAGTCTAGGAGTGGAAGTCCCTGAGACCATCAAGGGAGAAGAGCGGAGAGTGGGACCCTACCCAGAGAAGCAGTGATGCCAGAGACGGAGACAGAGACGTGCAGAGATGGAGCGGCTGGAGACTTTAGACACAGAGAGGGTGAGGGGCTATATGCTGATGACCAGGGGGCAGGCTTGCAGGGTATACTCTTTGGTTGGTTGATGATGCATGGAGGGGATTGTAACCATGGAAATGACACAATTTACTACACAATGAATGTAAAACTATAGTTTACAATAAAGCATTAAAAAATAATAATAATAAAAAGAGAGCTAATATGAACATTAAAGACTTGAACAGCTAAAATAACAAGAGTAATCAAAACCACATAGAGAAAGTACCATAATGGATAAGTATAAAACAGCCCTACTGTGTTACATTCTCACACAAAACATTTAGGAATACTGATCATAAACATTCCAAAAGCTTGTTATCAGTTTGCTCTCATTCTCCACTAATCACAATCAATGTGATTGAAAGTTAACAAAATGATATCTGAACACTCAACTTTGAAAAAATTTTTTTTTAGAAACACATATGGCATAAATAATAGTGAAAATATGAGCTGTATCTAAATCATCACTTAGAGGGAAATTTATAGCATTTAGTGTATACACATCAAAAATACATGTTCGAAATTAAACATGTTCAAAGCATCCAAATATAAAAGTTACAGGAAAGCAGAATAAACTGAAAGAAAAATAAACAGAAATAAATAATAAGTAAAAAAAATACTAAACAAGAATACTATACCATGAACCAAAATGGGCTAAAACTTGGTAATAGGGTTTCAATTCATGGCAACTCTGTTTGTAAGAGAACAAAACACTGTCCAATCCTACACTATTATCACAATCTTTGCTGTTGAAGCTCATTGTTGCAGCCACTGTGTCAATCCATCTGTTTGACGGTCTTACTCTTTTTCGCTACCTTCTACTTTACCAAGCATAATATCCTTCTCCAGGGACTGGTCCTTCCTGATTACATGTCCAAAGCATGTGAGATGAAGTCTTGCCATCCATGCTTCCAAGAAGCATTATGGTTGTACTTCTGAAACAGATTTGTTCGTTCTAGTAGTCTATGATATGTTCAATAATCTTTGTCAACACCATAATTCAAATGCATCAATTCTTCAGTTGTCCTTATTTACTGTCAAGCTATCGTATTGCACATGAGACTTAGGTTAGGTACACCTTAGTCCTAGAGGTGACATCTTTCCTTTTAAAGTGATCTTTTGTAGCATATTTTCCCAAATACAACAGATCATTTGATTTCTGGGTGCTGCACCTATGGGTATTGATGTTTATCCAAGTAAAATGAAATACCTGACAACTTCAAATATTTTTGTTTATCATGATGTTGCTTATGGTTCAGTTGTCAGGATTTTTATTTGCTCTTTGTTGAAAATCTTTGATCCTCATCAGTGTCATGGACTTAATGGTGTGCCCTCAAAATATGTATCAATTTGGGTAGGCCATCATTCTCAGTGGTTTGGCAGTTATTTAATGATGTAATCTGACAGTTATATAACGATCTAATCATTCCATGCTGTGACCTGATATGACCAGCCAATCAGTTATAAGGGGATTTGGGTATAATGTAACACCCTTAATCAAGTCATAACCCTGCTTCAAATTAAGGGACTTTTTCCTGGGATTCTGTTTATCACCTTTTTTTAAAGCTTTTATTGTATATTGAGTGAGTGAAGGCTTATAGGGCAGATCCCCATTTTTACATTCAGCAAATCATTATAATGATTATAATCCCCTCCATGCACCCTTAGTCAACAGTATTTACGTCTATTATCTTTTATTTTGATATACACATACCACATTGTAAATATATATTCATTTAAATGTCCAAAGGGCACATTTTTAAAGCCAGCCTCCTGTCTGCAGGCACACTGCCTTTCTCAGTCCATGGGCCTAAAATCCACTGCTGCTCTGTCTCTCTGTGACATCACCTCTGCCACCATTTCTGCGTTGGCACTTTTCTGGTCAGGATCCCTTGCTACTCTCATGTTGTTTCATTTTGATGGTCCTAGGGTTCTTTGTTCCTGAAATGACAGTTTAACTGCTCCCGTTTTAGTTGTACTTCTTCTACACTTAGTTATGACAATCACCATTAAACCATGAAATTGTATCATAAAATCCTATCTCACTCATCCCCAGACCCATCTGAACATGAGAAAAATTATTCAGTTGTGTTTCTGTCTTACTTCCCTCATTCTGACACTAAGCACCCTTATGAAAGCTTGTAAGTCAGTCACTGCATGTCTTTATAGACCCCCAATTTTTCGTCTTTCATACTTCGGACATATTGTCAGGAGGGACCAGTCGCTGGAGAAGGATATCATGTTTGGTAAGGTAGAGGGTCAGAGAAAAAGAGGAAGACCCCCCAACGAGATGGATTGGCCAAGTGGCAGCATAGATGGACTCAAGCGTGGCAACAGTAGTGAGGTTGGCCCAGGATCGGGCAGTGTTTCGTTCTGTTGTGCATAAGGTCACTATGGGTCAGTACCGACTCGATGGACCTAACAACAACAACAAATTTTGGTAGCCAAAGTCTAAGTTGCCCATCCCTATCATCCCAGTGTATTGAGGAGGCATGCTTTATCCTTGATATGAAGAATCCTTCCCTGCTTGGCTGGAATTTTTGGCGGCCTCATTCATAATCAAGGGTCCAGTTGATCAGGTTGTAGTAATTTACACTTGCTCCCTGTATCATATTTCTTGATTTTCATCTGGTGAAGTTCTGGTCAGCAAGCCATCATGCTAGATCCAATGGGTACTGTCTGCAAGTCTGGGAGTTCTGGCATGCCTCCCCTCTCTTCAGATCCGCTGGGCTGCTTCAATATTAACTTTAGCCCCTAGTGTCTTTGGGTTCGGGCATTCAAACATCACCCTGAACTTGAAACCCACCAGCCCGTCCTCTTCTCTCTCACTCCAGGGTCACTGTGCGTCTATGGAATATGGCCAATCTCAGCCCATGTTTTCTTTGCTGCATTTGGCCCCCTTCCACTTAGAAGTCGACCAGCGAGCATACAAGACTGTTGGTGTGTTCCCTTTGAACTTTGCTCTTAGAAAGAGGTTTACCCTGATGGGTTGACTTTCCCATATCCCATATTACTTTCCCAAGTGTAAATGATAAATTAATTTTATCTTGCAAAAAATATAAAGAGAAGAAAGCAAGCAGCAAAGGACTTCACAACCACCAAAAAAGAACAGATGGAACAGAAGTGCATCCTTTGGACACAAAGTCCCAGTGGCAAAAACTTCCTAGTTTTCAGAAGAACAATGACAACACACATGAAGATCTCCAAGGAACGCCACACCCAAAAATGTTAAAGGAGACAAGAACCTTTACCCAGATCTGACTGGGAAAAGCATTACCCTAGAACTGACACCCTGAATTTGGACATCTAACTTCACAAACTGTGAGAAAGTATGTTTCTGCTTGTAAAAGCCTTTACCTGTGGTATTTGTTATTGCAGCACTAGAGAATTAAGACAAAAAGAAGGCACATCAAGTCTTCTTTGCTTTCAGCAAGCAAAGTTGTATCTTCTACAAACTGTATATTATTAATAGGTCTTCCAAAATCCCTGATATTGCATTCTTCTTCATATAGTTCTGCTTCTGAGATTATCTGCATACAGGCTGAATAAATATGGTAAAATGATACATCCCTGATGCACACCTTTATGATTTTCAACTACACAGTATCTCTTTTTTCTGTTCAACAGGTGCCTCCAGGCCTATGTACAGGGTCCACATAAGGACAATAAGTGTTCTGAAATGACCTTTCTCCCCAGTGCTGTTATCCATAATGTTATAATCCACAAAGCCCAATGCATTTGCACAGTCAAAGGTAAACTTCTATCTGTAATTCTCTACTTTCAGACAATATCCATCTGACATCAGCAATGATATCCTTCATTCCACATTGTCTTCTGAATTCAGTTTTAATTTCTGGCAATCTCTTGTTAATGAACTACTACAATCTTTTTTAAATTTTCTGCAACTTTTAAAAAAATTACCTTTACCAAAAATTTACTTGCAGGAGGAACAACAACACTGTATGCTCACCATGGAATGATCATTCATTCAAGATCAAAAGAGCAACACTTACCTAAGAACAAAGTTGAGAAAGGATGGAAGGAGGACGGAATTGAAATAAGAACCACAGGCAGGAAGTCAGATAACTGTTCCTACATGGATGGTATTACAATCATTGAGACGAAACAAAGTGTATGATTTGTTGAATGTAAAACTGATGATCTTGTCTGTAAACCTTCATTCGATTCACAATAAAACGTTTTACAACAATTACTTGTATGTGACATTAATGATATTATTCAATAATTTCCACATCCTGTTGAGTCACATTTCTTTAGAATGGGCACAAATATGGATCTCTTCCAGTTGACTAGCCAGTAGCTATATTACAAATTTCTTGGCTTAGACAAGTAGGCACTTCCAGAGCTACATCTATTTGTTGAAACATCTCAACATTTATTCCATCAATTCTTAAAGCCTTGTTTTTCAGCAATGCCTTCAATGCAGCTTGAACTTCTTTCTTCAATACCATCAGTTTTTGATCACATACTACCTCCTAAATTGGGTGAATGTCAACCAAATCTTTTTGGTACAGTGACTCTGTGTATTCCATCTACTTTTCATACTTCCTGCATCATTCAACATGGCAACTTAAGGTTTGAATTTTTTTCTTCAGTGCTTTCAGCTTAAGAAATGCTGAGTGTGTTCTTCCCTTTTGGTTTTCTGACTTAGGTCTATGCACATTTCATTATAATGCTTTAGTTTATCTTCTCAAGTTACCCTTTGAAATCTTTTGTTCACCTTTATTACAACATCATTCTTTCACTCACTTTAGCTACTCTACATTCAAGAGCAGTGTCAGAGTCTCTTCTGACATCCACTTTGGTCTTTTCTTTCATTCTTGTCTTGTTAATAATCTTTTGGTTTCTGCATGTATTATTCAAAACACAATTCATCTGATCTTTGGACATTAAATGTTCATTGTATCAAATCCCTTCTTGAGATGCTAAATTCAGGTGGAATATGCTCAAGGTCATACTTTGGCCATTGTGAATGTGTTTATTTTTGTCAGCTTCAACTTGAACTTGCATATGGTCAATTTATGGCCTTTTCTGCAGCTGGCCTCTGGCCTTGTACTGACCAGTGATGTTGAAGTTCTCCATTGTCTCTTTTCACAGAATAATCAAATTAATTGCAGTGTACTCCACCAAGTGAGTTCCACCACCAAGTGAGTTCCGTGTATATAATTGCTGTTCATGTTATTGAAAAGCATTTATTTTAATTGAACATGACCCTAGTTACTTTTAATATGTGACTTTACTATATAAAAGGTTTTTCAAAAGATCATATATTGTATCACAGCAGAAATGCCTGGTACTCTGAAAAAACCATTTGAGAGACATAAGAGACTCTCTCTCCCCTGTGAAATTCCTACCAGGTTAGCAAGGTAACTGAATTTCTCAGCCCTGACACACTTTCAGGAGAGATTTCTGCAGCTGGGAGAATGCTCTTTGACCCTATGCTAATTACTTATCAATGCAGACAAACATTTCCCAAATTACTGGGACTATAATTTTTACAGTCTATCAAATTAGGTCAGACACACACATGTGCAATGTTTAAAGACAGACACACCTGGTTCTGTCTCTCAGTGGTGGTGGTAGTGCTAGTGTGCCGTGAAGTTGGTTCTGACTGATAGCGACCCTGTATAGGGTTTCCAAGGCTGTAAGTCTTTACAGAAGCAGAAAGCCTCATCTTTCTCCCACGGAACTGCTGGTAGTTTCAAACTGCTGTCCTTAAAGTTAGCAGACCAACTCGTAACCACTACGCTACCAAAGCTCCTTTGTCTCTCAGTAAGCCATGGGCTTTTGGCAAACTCACAGACCTCTCTGTGGTCTCTGTGTCCTGAGGCATCTGTATAATGGGAATTGTTGTTCAGAGCTGGGGAGCTGGTTCTGACTCATAGTGACCCTGTATAAGGTTTCCGAGGAGCGGCTGGTGGGTTTGAAACATCAGCTTTGTGGTTAGCAGTGCAATGTTTATGCTACAGAGCCATACCAGGACTCCAAATATAATACTATTGTTGTTGTTAAGTGCCATCAAGTCAGTCCCAACTCATAGTGTCCCTTCAAAGGGAATTGGAGACTGGTAAAGGAAAAAAATTCTGTATCTGCTGATTAGCACAGTTCCTGATATTCATTCTTATGCAAACTAAAATTCTGTGATTATTTTATTCAGAAGCTTAAATCCAATGATCCTGCAAGAAAACAAAGTCAAAGAAAGAAAGTAGTAAAACTTCTAAAGCTTTGACTAAGGTCTGTAATACAACTCTGAAGGATCTATATAGCGGAACTATCTGTAAAACTAGTATAAGACACATCTTTAACTTCTAAAGCAATGAAGGAAAAGCACTTTGCACATACCTGCTGAATGTGGTACTCCTTTTCTTGGAGCTGCAGAGATAAGGACATTTCCTCCTTTTGGGTAGGAGGCTTGACTTGCTCACTATTAAGTTTTTGGACTGCCTTCTTTTCATGCAAACCAGCTTTCTTATTTTCAAATTCACTCTGTACAAAGTACATTAATAACAAAAATATCATTAAGATAGAAAATTATGCTTACTCTATATCTATGCTGTTACTTAGAATTCAGTTCATACTATATTGTACCTCTGCACTGCGCCAAGCATAGGTACTTGAACAAACTGAAACCATCACGTACAGGGAACATGCACGCAAATGGATTCATCACACATGAATATATAGCAAATCCAAGTGTCAGGCAATAGACTAAGGAAGACAGAATTGTGTACTGATGAAAACCTTATGCGATAAACAGAAACTTTCAGTCTTTTTGAAATAGCAGTGCAGGTAATCTTAAACAGTCACTTCAAAAAATTCTCCATCAGTGGAGAGCCTTGGATCCTCCTACATTGCTGGTGGGACTATAAAATGGTTCAGCCACTCTGAAAATGGTATGGTTCTCCCTCAGAAAGTTGGAAATAGAAATACCTTATGACCCAGCAATCCCTCTTCTTGGTATATATCCACAAGAAATAAGCGCCAGGACACATGTAGATATATGCACACCGATGTTCACCACAGCAGTATTCATAATAGCAAAAAGACAGAGATAGCCCAAGTACATGAAAGAATGAATAAACAAACCTTGGATCATATACACAATGGAATACCATACAATGTTGAAGGAAACGATGAATCTGTGAAACATCGGATAACATGGCTGAAACCTGGGGGACAGTATGCTGAGTGAAATTAGTCAATCACAAAAGGATAAATATGCTATGAGACCATTATTGTAAAAGCTTAAGAAAAGATTTCAACACTAAAAGAAACATTCTTTGATGGTTGCCAGGGGTGGGAGGGAGATGAGAGTAATTCACTGTCAACAGAGTAGACAACATGTAAGCTTAGGTAACAAGGGAGGATAAAATACAAGGAGGAGGACGGCAAAACAACAGTGAAGTCAGGAGAAGACACAGGGTGGTATGCATGGGTTAAAGAGGGTAGCGATACACAGTGACAGCTACACAACCTTGGAACAACAGTGCGCTGTGCACAGATATAGGGATTGAGACATAGGCTGAATGTCTTAAGGGAGGAAGAGTGGGATAAATATATATTTACACATCTCACAATTATGTTAAGAGTTTGAAAGAGGGTATTTGTACATTCATATTAATCTTTCACGCAAACAGAACTATGACTGTGGTGGAGCAGACAGCAGAAAAAAACAATGAAAGCTTCCTAGATGTTATCAAACATCTTAACACAATGAGTTGATAGGCCTGGGAGCTCAGAACCATAGCCGCACGGGACATCATGGTCAGCTGGCATAACACAGTCCACAAAGACAATGTTCTCCATCCTGCTTGGGTGGATAGCATCTGAGATCTTGAAAGCTCATGAGTAGCTGTCTAAGGTGTAGCTACTGGTTTCTCCACGTACAGAAGAAAGAAGCATGATAAGAACTGAAGAGGCCTGGCTGGAATCAATTAGTTGGCTGGACTAATAGAACATGTAAACATCAGTCTCCACAACTCTGAAACCAGAAGAACTAGACAGTGCCTGGCTATCACTACTACCAAGTGCCCTGAAAGAGATCATATTAGAGGGTCCCTGAAAGAGTGGGAGAAAATGTGGAACAAAATGCAAAATTATTTTAATAATAATAATAAAAGAGTGGGTTTGCTGGTCAGAAAGAGACTGGAGGAACCTGA